CCCCCCCCCCCCCTACACCCACCCATCCCCGGCTACCGTCCACGTAGCAAGTTTCGTTCGACCGGGGTAACGCTGTTGCGTATGATTCATCGCGCCGATGAAGATTCCGTCTATAAATGCAACCTGACTCAGCGACCGTCGCGCGACGAATATCCGGCCAAAATCAGTTTCCTGGCATTCGTGAGTAAGGAATGTTAAAAACGGAAGAAACAAATAAAAGAAAACGAAATTTACATAGACGCGAGTATAAGACGTATGAAAAATTCCAAGATTCCACGAACGTCATGAACGTGCGAGGTTTTTTTTCCTCTTTCGCTCTCTCTCTCTCTCTCTCTCTCTCTCTCTCTCTCTCTCTCTCTCTCTCTCCAACGTCCCTTTCGGCCCTTCCGTCTCTTACTCCGACTACGTACACACAGTCTCTCTCGTAAAGGCTGTGCTACAACGCGGCGACCCATTTATCTCGGATCCCGTTAAAAAGACACGTGCGTACGATACTCTGCGTCCCAGGTGTATGTAACGGGTGGTCGCAGGTGAAGCAATGCATTGTGGATCCCGCCCTAACGTTCACGTGACATATACCCTTGGATCTGGGATTGATTGAAAATCCTTAAATTATAGACACCAATAACATGATTAAATATAAAAATACTTTGACAGTCACGGATTGCAACGAATTTTTGTCATCGGTTCGTTTTATTTATCAAATTTATAAAAAATTCAAATTTTCATTGACGATTACGTAAAAAGCAGATATGAAGAATAGAGTCCGGGAAATGTCACTGGGAAAGTAAAATCAGGCAAACCTATGAAAATCGAGGGTTGGAAGACTTCAGAGAGAGATACAGGAGAGACAGCGAGAGAGAGAGAGAGAGAGAGAGAGAGAGAGAGAGAGAGAGAGAGAGAGAGAAAAGTTTCAGCACGAATGTTGCGTCATCGTTCATCTAACGTAAATCGGCAGCCGCAGCTCAACTTATACGGTTGCCTAGTTCCTCGTTCGAGCGAGCACGATTTCGCGATGGACGATAGTGTGTCAGTAGGTTGTCGATTCCGCGTGCCACCCAAATTTGGCGTGGCCTGTACTTCTATCCCGTGTGGCACGAGACGGGTGAGAAGGTTGCGCGGGCCGATTTTCGATGTCAGCCGGAGGGTTGAAAAGCGGGGATTGGTCGGAGGAGAGGAGGGGACGGAGGGGAGGTTCGTATGGAATCGAGACTCCTTCATCCCCACCACCGACGAATACCGTCGCGAATACCAATTTGCCTATCCTTGCAGCGAGTACAGTCACGACGCTCCGCTTGGAAATTCTAACGAGTCGAATAAGGATTCTCTTCTCCTCTCAGTTCGCGAGGACAGATAGCCATCTTTCCTGGAAAATAAGGTCACTGGTATCAATGACCTCGGAACGACGGACTTGATTCCCCAATTGAGATACCGTGCCGATTAGCTAATAACCGAACAAAAATATATATCAAATACACGAGAATCCATTTCGAACGTAATCACCTGTACTTTATCAATATTTAATCGCGTATAGTACTTATTGACTGTTCATTTCAAAGATATAATTGTACCTTCAGGTTATATCTATATATCTCGTACGATAACATTTTATTTGCAAACGTACAAACCGATAATTACGGATTGATTCCGCGAGGATGAACTATTCGAGTATGCGATAAGACGCGCACGGGATTGATACATGCGAAAATAATTTTGATTATCTCTTATCAGCAGGTCTTCTTGGGACGATGGGGGGTACGA